TATTATACACTTTAAACATTTTATTACTATTTATTTTCAATCTATCTTTACACTATTATTATTGATTACGAATTTGCACTTCCCTTTTTATTGTTTTGTTTAAATTGGCTTGTTACTATGTTATTCTCATAGGCTCATATTTACTATTTATTAATTATATATTATCTAATCTTGAATTAGATTAAAATGAAATAAATAACAAAGAATCTGATATATGAACTATTGAATTAAGAAGATGAAACGTCCGTTCAGTGCTTCCAACTTTTCTATGATAGTCTAGCTTCAATTAACTCATGATTGGAACTATTTAAATATCCACAATAGAAAATCTCTTCTAATATTGAATTTCTGTTTTACAAATGATTTAAAATAAGCATATTATTATCAGAAGGGGTTTTGTGGAGATTGTAGTAATTTCAATGGTTAGATCATGAGTAGTCTAGTGGTTAAGTGCTCGCGCGCGAAACCAGTAGGTCCTGAGTTCGAATCTCGCAGGGAGCGAGGTCGTGGGTGCGCACTGCTGACGAGTCCCGTAATAGGACGAAACGGACGTCCAGTGCTTCCAGGTTTTCCATGGTGGTCTAGCTTCAACTGACTCATGATCTAACCACTGAAATAAGCATATTATTTTGTTATGAATTAAATTTAATAATTTTGGTTATGCAATCGGTCAACTATTTATGAAGCTTCACTTGTTGGAATAGTATAACTTATGACATGTGTTTAACGTTTCTAGATAATTATTATAACATAACTAATTTTTACCGAATACAGTTGGTTGTGCATCATGTTATTTGATAAGTTTATTTGTTTAGATTGTAATAGTAAATAACGCCCCCAAAATAAATCATATCGTTTACATTTAATAATGATACTGATCTTGTTAGTTTTACTTTTTACCATTAGCAAAGATGAATGAAAAGAGATCTCCACTAGATCATAGTTTGATATAGCATAAAAGGTTTTTCCTCTTGTAGATAGTCTGTTTAAAAGTTCTAAATTACTCTACCTTTGCTTATAATCAAATATACATGTCTTTCTAACCATGATCAGGTTTATTATTTCTAAGCTTGGTGAAAAATTGTTATAAGATACTTGAAGATTAGTATTATCTGATTCTATCATATCTAATGTATCTTCAAGTTCTTGAATTCATTCTACCATAGACTATCACTAAAATTTTTCTAGGGACATAACTAACTGTTATAAATGTTTTCATTATTACAATAGACTATCTTGTAAAAGTTTCGAACTGAACAATGAATAAATAAGAAGAATCACCCGATTTCGAAGTGTCATGTTGTAGTGAACGTGAACAACTATAGGGACAATCGGATGTACTTGACAAAACTTGTTAATAAAATCTAACAACCATATAGTAAATGCTCAATTTGCAAAATGTCCATTACTTGTCTCAAAATCACTCAGACTTCATTGTTCTTGCATTTTCATACAAATTGCATTCTGTTTCCATTCTTTACTGTTCGGTCTTCTTGTCTCTGCTGCCAGACATTCTGTTCACGATTAACATTATATACTACTTATGTCTACATAAGTAGCACACACCACAATGTGTTATTCGGATAATTGTACACATACACATTATTGAGCTTGGTTGAGGCTACAGGCATTTGTATTAGATACAGTATTTTATTTATAGAATGCTTATTCATACTTAGGAAAAGTTAGTAAGAAAACTATAAATATGCTAGTGATTAAATCAACACAAATAATTGCCTTAGTTTTGTCCCCTCGAAATAAAATCAAATTAACTTAACGTCTGGATTAGATCGGATTCGATACTATAAGGATAAAGTTAAATAAGATTACGTAACCGAATTCGAATAGGGGTCAGTAACTGTATATGTACGAACAGAATATCATCCAAAGTTGTCTAATTTACTTTCATTACAATTTAATATATTAACATTAAATAATCACGAGAGTATTTACTTTAATTAATTTTTATCAAAAGTAATTTTATTTACTATAAAAGTTTCTTGTGCTATTAAATGACTTATTTTGAATAGCTTTGGCATAAATACCGTAAAAGCAACATATGAAGATGAGATATAATCTAGAAGCAAAATACCAAGCTAAGGAGTTTATGTGTTTATCTTTATGATAATGTGTACCATATAATTTACAGAATTTGCATATGTTACTGTAATGAATTAAATTTGAAGTGGAAATGAAATCTAATGTTACAATAGTGAATATGATTATTTAAAATTTTATAACATAGAACCAAGGAACTTCTTAACTGCGCGTATTTTAATTTCTGTCGTAGTTATTTTTTTTCAATTCAGATTTTAGACTGGCAAAGTAAGAGAGAATTCCTATTGACCATGAAAGTTTCATTTTTTTACACTTCAAAATGAACAATATTTACCCACAAATTATATTAATAAACATGTGTTTATTACTGATTATCTGAAACAGTGGTTTCCGAAGTTTTGTTGATAAGTTGCGACCTATAGGTTTCAATTATATCGAAGATGACACAGATACGACAAATGTCATCATTTATTTATTTCATAATATCACAAGTTGACTGTGGTTTTAAATATTAACACTTTGTTCTTGAAAGAATGATCGTTTCGTCTGTTGGACTCGGGTTCAAACGAATATCATGTTTTAGGTTATAAATCTCTAGAAGTCTCAAAAAAACTGGCTACCCTGTACTTTTGCAGTTTCAAGGTTTCCTGAGTTTATATTGTTCTGCAGTGAAAACTAGTTTTCGGAGTATCAGTTGTGAAACCTATGCTTTTGACCAAGTACTGAATTTAGTTCTCCACACTTGGTTTGACAGGTACATTTTGACCGTGATGATTACCACAGTAAATAGCAAAAATGGAATCCATTATTCTAAATTTACTGATGAACCTGAAAAAAATATTATATGATGACATGTTTTCAACCACACTTAAAGTGGCTTTTCCTGTAACTTATTTCTATGTTCTTTAGGTTGTAGCGTGGTGTTGAATCGAGCTTGATTATGAACACCGCTACAAGAAGGCTACGTGCCAATTAACCAATAAGATCCCCGTAGGTCAATATCAGAAGGCAGATGATGGCTGTAGTCGAGATGTATTTGTTGGCGATCTCGTGGTATCGAAAGAATACCGAGATCGTGCCAAAGGAGTACAAGCGTGGTTACTGAGCGTAACCGAATTCGTACAAGTTCAAAGTCAACGGGAGAGTAAGTGTAATGGCTGTCATTAGCATAGTTAAACAAACGAGCACAGTAAAAAAAATCACTGGTACAATTGGTTATAATAATAATTGTTTTCATCAAACCAATCGCGTTCTGTTGACAAAAGCAGGTCACTACAAGGTAACGGATTAGAATGCTCCATTGAAGCTTAAAACCACTTGAAAAATATCACAGTAATTAAAAATGTAACTTATATCCCAAATTTAAATAACCTTAGAAAATATGAAATTTTATTCTTTAGTTGATTTACATTTGATATTCAAGTAGTTTTACTAAAGCAATAGATGAAAAATATATGAAGTGAAAATAAAATAATGTTCTTCCAAGCAGAAGATAATATATGAGGGTAGTAGATAAACTCGTTGCCTCGTATGACATTTGTAGCGGCGTTGGGCCTTAACCATACAACCGTCAAAGCTGAACACAAAACAACTGGGAAAATAGATATTTAACATTTAACGCCGAGAAAAACCCAACGATGGAGAAGAAATTCAATTAATTCATCGAGTGGCATTTCTCGGTCTTGCAAGCGTGGTCTTACTTATGTAACATTATTTTTATCCATATTAAATATTGTTTTATCTACAGTCTAAATGTGTTCATCATATGTTGATGACTTACAATATGATGAGTCAGGGTAGACAATAATGTGTCTTCCACGTAAGATCATATAGATTAGGCAATTACATCATGACAAATCTACAATTTTAGGATTAAGTTTATTATCAGAGAGGTACTAATGTCGATGCAGACCATAATTATACACATTTCTGCTACATTATAAATGGCATGTGTTTTATTCGTTTATGATGTGGCAGTGAATATCCATTTAAAATTACTAAGACGGTTTCGAAAACCACTACGAAGCTTCTTGAGACTCTAGAGGAGCAGAAAATATTCCATGCAATCAGATCCTGATAGGGCATTTTAGAACATATACATGGCAAACTACGACTGGATGACAGCATAACTTCCTTTCTTGCGGATTTACTGAATTATAGTGACGTTATATCCAATACTGATAGCTATAAATACTCATGTTTTTCTGTACATCTTATATTCTTACTCAATGATCATTTCTTTTGCTTATTCCGTCTTCAAATCTACGACTTTAAGGTTCTACATGTCAGAATGCCGTAATTAAGTAGAGGACGGACCAAGAATCAATTAGTTGGTTTATGATAACAAATGAAGAGTGTGGTTGAAAAACGTCGAGAAAATCACAGTAGACTTGGCTGACTTAATATGTAGCAAAAATGTGTCATGTGTGCACTTGTTTTCTGATTATTGAACTACGAAGTTCTTGTCGTTCAATTGACACTAGAATAAAATCTAGATACTGTGAGACACGCGCTCTTCAAGTATGGAGTAAGGTCGTTGAGCTATCATCAATGAACAGAAATATACACTTTTCCACTACCAATTTGTAATGTTTTGACACTTTCAAGAAAATAAACTGCGTCTTCGCCATACTGATAGATGTCCAACATAACAAATCTGACAACTATAATCATACAATGTTTAAACCACTGTGCGGTAGGTCCAGCTATATCAATCAACTGCTCTCTTCCTACTTATTTCAGCCACAACAATCACGCACTTTTTTTCCTATAAGCACTGAATTTGTGAATAAGTTACTGGATCCAAGTGAACTCGTATTCTGAGGCGGTCAAATGTAACATTGCAATTTTAAGTGTCTTTCAGGTTCTAACCTTGTGTAGGATATATCCACTTAACTCCGTTATTTTTTCCTCTTTAAGTTGTTTTACATTTTGCATTTTAGTCTATTGGGCGGCATGCACAGGAATCGCGCTTCCAACAGTATCAACATTATAACTACAGAGACGACTAATACAGGTCTTAATTCAAAGGTTGGTAAAGAGTCCAAAATCCTCATTTTTGGAGACAGTACCCTAAAAAGCTCAACGCCGTGAAAGGATCTCAAGAATAATGTATAGAAATAGGATCTCTCAACTTAAAAGACAAGGCTATATCTCTAACTAAGTAATCAGGATCACACTATGACCAGGAGTCCGTATGCATGAAGCACCTCTCAACCCTGTTCCAAAATGAGGGTCTGAAGGATATCCAACTAAATCTCATGATAGACACACAAATATCAGGAAACCACAACATCCGATCTTCAATAATGAAACCATGTACAGAACCATATACAACACCAACATGTGATCCGTCCAACCACTCACATAATTCGCAACAACTCGCAAGAGAATGGAAGCAAACCACTATTTCTTCAGTCTATAAAGAGGGTAGCAGGAAAGAATCAGTTAGATGATGGTTGGAGGTAGTCGGCAGGAAACCCTGGACACGGGTTTCGTGCTACTTGGCACTCGTCAGCAAGGTGTACCTGTAATCTTTGAGGGAAGTGGTGCTCCCTGGCGGGTTCGATCCCGTGTCACCCAGCTTCACAGTCAAAGATGTTACCACTGAGCTATCCGGGCCGCGACCGACCTCCTGTAGGACTGAGATGTAATCACAATTGACTGATCACTGGATGGTGACCAATGTTATGCGTGTTCTTTTATAATACTCAATTAAAAAAGTGAAAACAATAATAAGTGTAGAAATCATATTTTATTGAGAAAACTGAAATTTATATCATTTTTAAAGAGAGAAATATGATCGAATTAATGAATGTTACGTAACAGATCTCCGTTTTATTGAATACTTTGTTTCATATTAATTATTGATTAAATTGTTTATATTTTGATAATATTTTCTTGTCTTAATCTCTATACCGATTTAAATCTGTTAAGAGATAAAACTGCAAAGTAATTAATGTATATCAACTATTCAGTTTAAATTAAATCAAGTCACTTAATTCATTTGTGATTTTATCATAACAAGAATAGTTGTAGTGTCGGTTATTATGTTAAGCCCATAAAACTCATTCTAACGTTCGGATAGGTCAATCTATTCATTCTACTTGAGTCATATTTTGACCTTGTTAATTATTCACTTATCAATCTTCACTGTTTTTATATGAGCGCGTAGGTGTGTGTACACTTCTTATCCCATTACTCATCACATGTGTAACTATCAATATTGATTAATGATTGGTTAAATGAGAGTTGGATTACCCGCCATCTCCACTGCGAGTCATTTTGCATCGCTCTGTTCCACTCGCTTCATATAAAAAATATACGTATTCAAAAGTCCATTCTCATTAATTGACTTATTTAATTTCGTTATTGACCAACGCGATTCAAGTCGATGATTATATACGAGGATGCACCACCAGACAACCAGTTAGTGAACACTTCCCTTCGTAGTTAGGAAAGGGTACCGCCAAAACAATACTCAGCTCTACTCTATCACATTTGGTTAATAGCGTTCATGTAGTAGATAGAAATAATCTATTTAAAGTGATTAATCATATTCCTACTAGTTTTCCCTATGGGGTTCGATCCCATCTCCTACACATAGTAGAATCTATAGGAATTCGAGATAACAATCCTAGTCTATGTGTTCATAGGAAATTTGTAACACCTTCATCTCTAACTTGGCCTTAGTAAATGATTTTATTTATTATTATTTTCCATACTTTTTCTTCGTTTATTCTTTTTTCACCCTCTCCCACACTTTTCTCTTTTTAAATACACACTTCATTGTTCAATTATCTGAACACTTCTTAATACATAATCCTATAGTTTTTACAAATATTATTTCAGCATCGATATTTTTTTAAAATTATTGATCTAATCCCCATTACAAAACATTGGTTCATGGTCGATAGCATTCGATCTGCACTAATAATAAGGACTAGACACGCATGATATTGGTCACCATTCAGTGATCAATCAATTGTGATTACATCCCAGTCCGACAGGAGGTCGGTCGCGGCCCAGATAGCACACTGGTAACGTCTCTGACTGTGAAGCTGGGTGACACGGGATCGAATCCGTCAGGAAGCACCAGTTGTAAGATCCATTTTGAATGATTTGTGTGTGTAAAAATCCCTCCATGTACATACTTGCAGTTTATTCTTATTGATACCTTTGGTTGTACATTTTTATTAGTCTTTATTATTCCATTTGAGTTAATAGCATTTGTATTTTATTATAGTTTTTATTTTTCTTACGCCTTCACTAAGTTTCCGTGTTTCTTTCTGAACTGCATTTATGTTGTTTGACTTGATACCTATTCTTGGCGGCAGCTATATTGGGTTGTTCCTCCCTTTGATCGTGTTGCGTGCATTGACTGAAATTGTGCATTTTGATTGTGAGTTGAAGCACTCTTCCAGAATTGAAAACACTTGGTGTTATAAAGCAACCAAACATTATCTTTTGAACGAATCTGTGTGTGATCTATCCAGACAGGATAGAATAACATTTAATTGTTGCGATTGGTAATTTTCTAGCATCGTTTTTTAACTTTCTTATTTATTATAATTTAGATTTGATTAATTGAACTATTGTTGGTTGGATAGCTGGGTGGTTATATTTGTTTAGGTAACGATGTACATTTAAATTTATGATGAATTATAGAACCGTCATTTCACCCGATTACTTTGTTTTGGTTTCAAACGGGCAAGGGCGCGTATCTAACCCACCAAGACAGCTATTCTTCAGTCCAAACCTTAGTTTGGATCTTACACCAGTTCCCTCAAAGATTACAGGTACACCTTGCTGACGAGTGCCAAGTAGCACGAAACCTGGGTGCAGGGTTTCCTGTCGACTACCTTCAACCACCATCTAATCTTACAATAGTGCCCGCGGTGTCGAGTCACCTAGACTGGTGACCACATTGCAACATGATCGATAGCATTCGATCTGCACTAATATTAAGGACTAGACACGAATGACATCGGTCACCCAGTGATCAATCAATTGGGAAAGAATCAGTCCCACTTCCCCCAAAGTTAATGGAAGGACTAGTTAACGAATAAATAAAAAAACGGATAAAGACAACTTCCTCTATGAAGCCAAATAATGGTTCAAGAAAGGCTGTGAGCTCAATCTACTAGTTGCATGAAAAAGCTAGACGATACTGGTTTACGTAGTATTCTTCTACTTCGCAAAGATCACTGGCACAGAAACTCATGTTTTTCTCATAGTGAAGATTGCTAAGATGGATTTCACTGGTCCACTTTTATCTGGGCTCTGAAGCTACGTGGAAAACACGATATTTTGTACCTAGGTAAGTAGAGTCCACGAGAGTAAGTAGTTTCAACATCAGTAGTCTCACAATAACCAGTATTTGATCAACTTTTGTTACTGATCTCTATAACAATTAGTTAGATGGATGTAACCCGGGATGAGATTTAGTTCTGGAAGGATACATTTGAGCTACCAAAAGATCTCAGAACAATGAAGGACTTAGTAAAACGTAACCTATAGATATATAATATAATGATAATTCTGCCCCGTTCAAAACAAAATTCATGTCTCATCGATGAAAATCCATCCCGGATGCTTCTAAAGATCTTGGTTTCGTGCTTACAATTACAGAGAGGTTAGACATAAACACGAACTACATGGGAGATACCGAAGCAAACTCATCTCTGAAATCTATGCTTAAACAACTTTGTGTATGCATGCCATAGTTGCTCTGAACACTGTTTAAAACGTATGCACGTCCTCTCCTAGAAGTTCACAATGTCATTAGGCCTCCTTGGTTTACATCAGACACTGTTCTCGTAGACCAGGCAACCTGGTGTATGATAGATCTTAAAGAACATATCTAACACCTGAGATTAGTTTCGTTGAACTTTAAGAGAATACAAGGTGATCTGATAATCACACGATTTATTAAGTTCACCAAGTCAACAGAATACGTACATATTACCAAAACATCATCATCACTCTCCTCAAAGCTTCCCCGCCTCGTAAAAGTGCACATCAAAGTTCATAAACCTAGGTACCTTTCCACTTTTTGTCATTAAGAGTTTTCCTCCTTGAAAGTGCTCTGCCAGACAATGTGGACACAGATCCGTCAGTCGATAGCCTCATGAAGGGACTTGACAAACACGTATCCATCCACGAATCGCAATCTCTCACAGTTACTGGCTGCATCAAAAGCATGTTTCGTAACTTACGCGCCGTTTTGATTGCCCATATCATTAACTTCTTTCTACCTCACTAACTGTCATCTCCGTCTGACATTTTGTTCATTTAATTCCATCTTTGTACACATTACCAACTAAATAACTTATTTATTTATTCTCAAAAATATCATTTCTCAGCTCTCGAACTACCACCTTATTGTTTTGACATCACAAACAACCAACCACCTGTCTGGAAATGTGATGACTACTGGTATCCAGTGTCCCTATCGCTCTGATATAATAAGCTATACAAATCCATGAATGACTACCACAATGACTAAAACTCGTGCAGTTGAGTGGTTAAACTTCCACCCACCTAACACTACCAAATACCTGAAATTGTACTGAAGCAAAAAGAAGCGAGCGCAAACAAATCGATCAGTTTGTACCGTCTAGCGATCAAGGTATTGGATATTGAATCAACAATAAGACCTTGACATGGCTTTTCCATTTGAAATGCGGATCTGATTCTGTGGGTTGTATATTAATTTGTTCTTTTAAGGAAACCGGCCGTCGATTCCAACTGTTGTGTGTCGAACACATAGATTAACATTAGTTGATCAGTTGAACTGCACAGTCAAGGGCTTACATGAAATGATCATCTAAATTGCTGTAGAGCTACTTCATAGAATTTCATGTTCAAATTTAAATGAATTGGAATGCTAATAACTTGATATTACCATTCAACAAAATGTTTTACTATTTTTCGTAATTTTCGTTACTCAGAATAAAACCTTATTTTCAGTCAGTATGAAAGTCCTATTCTATCTCATATATACACGTCTTCTCTATTAATTGAGATTTCTTAGTATTACTGAGTAAAGACGGTAGTTGATTCGTAGTTTATCATAATTTCACCAGTTAATTACCCCGTGGTTGTCAAAAATATCCTTAGTGTATTTGACGTAGTTTGTGTTGTGTTTTGTACTTAAGCAATCAATACATGTGGATAGATGTATTCAATCAGGGTCCTCTTAAGATCAGTTGTAATTGTCCAGTGCCTCAAAAAACAAAACTAGTAAAAGTTGATCACTATTTGATGTAAATGTATCAAATATGAAGATAAGTAGAAAAGACATGAGAGTGATTAATATTATAAAATTTTACTGAATAACGTAATTTATGGTACAAAGATTAGATCTTAATAGCAACGACCAGTTAGAAATACGATTGCTTGGTAATTAACTGAATTGTGGTTCATGTCAGACATCATCAGTAGGCTGTTTCAAATACAAGTTGTACAACATTACCGTTACAGCTCATATGACCGCCTAAATTTACGAAATGCTATTATGCAAGATTTACAGCACTCTTGTTTTATGGTTTTTACCGAAATAAGCATAACTTTGTTTATTGCTTTAATTACTTTGTCTCAATAAGTAAACGTCTTTTGGTTATTTTGATATGGTTACTGAAATAACGGCTCGTTGTTTAGTTACTAAGTGTTCCAAGATGTATATATTACGTAAGATACAAACGTCTTAATCTAGGTGTTTCCCTGACCACATAACTTGTTTCGCGAATATTTTGGCTTTACATAAAACCTTCCATATGTTAAAAGCTTTGAAGCTTTATGGTGTTTTATGACTACATGTAATAAGCTCACTTAAAATTATTATTATATTTTGTGGTACGTCGATGATTGTACGCACACCTTTGGGTATCACAGCAGTTAATTTAATTGAATGATACGTACGTAATACAATAACTTTTTTCGCAATATTATGTTAGACAATGAATTCTCAATGTCTTTTGCTACAAATGTAGATCCAGCTACAAATCAACCAATCAAATTTGACAAACTACTAAATGGGATCTTGAACTTTCATATGAAGGGAATAAGTAGAAACTATGGCTATGAAGCTCAAAACTACTCAAAATCAGACAAAATAATTATTGAGCATAAAACATCTAGTAACTTTCCAGCCAATCAAAATGAGATGTTAGTTGGAAAAATTGCTCAATATAATCAGTTACTAAATGTAACAATTATAAATGACTTAAATTCAGCCTGCAAACCGGATGAAATGCACATTACTCCTGAATTCGAGAAATCAGATTACGGATCATGTTCTTCAAGGTCTTTACATTACCCAACATTTAAAACTAAAGACTTTTCAAGAAGCTCCCTATATATGCCTCTTTATTATGTTTATTATGACTCGGACTCCGCCAAGTACTTTAACAAGGAACGTATATTTGGAGTAATTGACAAAAACTCAGTTTGTTCAAGGTTAAGAGAAAATCCAGTGGAAACATTTGACAGAAGTACTAAATACCATCATTCTAGGAATGTTAGGTAATTAGTACCTTTTATGATGAATTTTAACTTAAATATTGTCATGAAATGTTAACAGTTCAAAAACGTTTTAAAACCTGAACTCAACTAAAATTTCACATTTCAGTTATTTGGAACACTTACCATCATTCAATCTGTGCAAAGTCAATTTTCTAGTAAAATGTTTTCACTATTCAGGTCTTGAGTTTGTAGTTGTGCATTAATGAGGATTTAAACGTACTAAAGAAGTGCAAGAAACAACAGTAATCCAGTAACATTTTCCTGTTCGTTGTGAGCTTGGTGGTACAAGCGATGTGAATAAGCCTATTGTTTTTTATTTACTCAGTTTAAATCAGCCTACTGTTGCCTTCAGCGTTCGCTTTTTTAAAGTAACTAACACAACGAGTTCTAATTGAAGATAGTTCCTTCTATATTCTGTTGTCAGTTCATGAAACTTTTAATACCAGTCTACCAGTTGTCTTTGAAGCAGCTGTATTACCAAGTAAACTAGATGGTTTGAACAGTAATTTCCGTAGAAATAATTTGTAGTTGATTAAAGTTTATAACAAGCCAAATCTATTTGCTTTCAAAATTAAAGAGAATTGCTGTTTAAATTGTCTATACAAACTGAATAAACAGTCAATATTCCTTGTAAACGATTACGCATTGGTTAAGATTTCACGCACAAAATCATTGTATGGTGTTTACGAAGTTATTTTTATTGCTGAATTCTCAAGACTTCATGTTGAAACAAATTTTACAGGCTTTAATAACAGACACAGAATTGTGAAAGTTGTGCAGACAAAATAATGAATCGGCTTTCTCTATCATCATTTCAAAATTAAGTGAAAGCCCATTTAAAAAATGACGTTCTCTTCACTCTGTAACATTCTGTCATGTTTATTACATTTTACAGGATAGTTACAGAGGTTCATAATATCTGTACGTTTATTGGTCACATTCTCTCCTATGATTCCACTTTCCTAAATACAGATCAGAAGTGGCCGGTTTCTTCAATTCATAATAGCATTTACATGTCGAAATGATTACTGTTTTTGTTGAGTGACTTTTAATAAATATTTAAGAGTAAAAAAATAAGTAAATGTCAGCCACCGTTTTAATTGAGCTTAAAATGTTTTTGTCAAAAGTAACAGTTAGATAATGGACTTCATATGCCATGCATCTATATCAGTATTAGTTTTAAAATCATTTCTTTCTTTCCGTTTTTTTACACAGAAAATTAGTTCCACGTACTGTAATGTACTGGTCAAATGGACCTGCCAGTAGTATCGATAGAGCAACAGTACCCTATTGCCTTGATCAACTCCCTATTTATTTATCTTCACGGTTAAACTTCAAAAAAAGTGTACATGTTTGTAATAACTGTTATATGCGTCAAAGTAAATCTATAAATGATGAATTTAAACCAATGATTGTTCACGATATGCCGTATTCACAAGCAAATAATAATTTTTTAAACCTTTTATTTATAAAACTGAAAAGATTTACAAAACTAATTCAAAGAATTTCAAAATCTGAAACAATTGTTTGTTCTAAAGGTTTCAAAAACTGCGGTGTTAAAAAGTTTACGCTAATTGACCATGAACAGAAGGATGTGAAGTTTTCTACAAATGATAAACCCAAGACAATGAAGTCACAAAATTTGGTTAAACAATAATTAGGCATTATCTTTATGGATTTATCAGGTGGTCACAGCTCATATGAAAAATCTTAAGTCATGTTATTCATAATTATATTAACTGATTTAATATTTAAGAAACTTGTTATCAACAGATGTATTAAACAAAGCTTTATTTCTACAAATAATGTAAATATATTCTTAAAAACACTTTATTTTAGTTTTCTCAAATAGTTGTCGTGTATATGTCAAAAAATATATAATATGTCTTGTTAAATAAGTTGTAGAATCTATTATTTAAATGATATAGGTGACAGTTAATAACCTTTTCCCGTACCATAAAAGCTGTACAATACTCCTAAAAATTAAAAAAAAATAAAAGCAAACAAAACTACAGGTTTAAATATGTTTTCGTACAAATAGTAAAATTTATATTTTATTATACGTATTTGTGCTTAGTTATATATTCGGGGATAAGTGAATTGTCGATAAATTGACTGTTAAGCCATCTCACTTTGTATCTACAAGGTTTTTTCCCCCAAATGCCCTGGTACGGCCGAGAGTGGGGAGAGTCCGCTCTCCTTCTCCAAATGCTCTCACATGGCCACGCGTACACAGCCTCTGCCAGGGAAGTCCTACTCACTGCCTTCTCGTGGCGGGGGTGTTGTTTACGAAAATGAGAGGACGAAAAGCGAATGTCCGGCGCTATAACCGGATCCCGAATCAATGGTGCATATGGGCTCCAGTATTCTGCCTGAGGGAACAAATGGCGTATGAACCAATCGTTGGTTGCCGGTTACCATGGGACTGCATCTCCTTACGATGCTCAACTGCTTTGTGGGTCAGATCTTCAGGTCGAAGGCTCGGGGTGTGGCCCCCTAAGTAAACCACTTGCTTCGGTCTGGGCATTCGGGCAGTATCACAGCCCTCACACAAATCAATTGGGATTCGTGTGGTGCATATATATTTGGTGCCTCCTTGTACCAATATCTGTGTTAAAATAAAATAATAAATAATTTCCTATGGAGCACTTTATTATAGCAACACGAAACATGCTCTTACCAAATACAAACGAAGTTACTTATAGGTGGAATTTTCAGAAAGTAAATGAAAATTAGCTAATAGCTCTAATGTTGAACACATGTTTAATTCCTGTTATCTGTTTCTATTAAAATATTCAGTTAAAATTACTTATAAATTGAAATAAACTGGCTCTAAGAGAAGCTGAAAAAACTCTTATATAGCGTATACATTGGAAATTTATTATTTTAGGCTTTTTCTTTGTGTTTAGCAGTAACACGTTTAATCCTTTATGTTACCATCTTCTTAGTAATGTGGTCCTCATTTTATAACTTGTTTATAACTTTCATTTGTCTCTGTGTTCTTCATATTCGTCAAGTGGTCACTTATTGTCAAAATCTCTCCCCCTGTATTATTTTCATGATTATAGTACTTTACTCACTGCATAAAATATACTCAACACTCAGAAATATTTGGTTATCTGTTGATGTCTTTGTTAATAATACAACCCTTACTTGTAAAACTAATTAAAAATATAACCTTACAGCATTACTATGTGACATCACTGAAAGAAAATTTTATTTCTTTAACCATCTTCATCTTATTAAATGACACATAATTATTAATTAGGAAGAATTTGAACTTTGGTGTACAAATGAACAATTTTCCGAATTTATATGAATATTCATTACAGAGGTCGCTTATAGCATGACGTAACAAAATTTTAAAAAGTGAATTGTACGTTTTTAACATGCAACTACCAATAGCTATATGAACTATCTATTTACTGAATTCAATCATTATTTCAGTAAAAATACCAATAAAATGCGTTTTTAGATAGATAGTCATGTTGAGTAAGCCAGGTAGTCAATTATACTAATTTTATAGCAACAATAATCTAGTTTATTATTTTAAAAAATGTCCATCTCATATTATATTTTTACTCTTTCATATTTGTCGTCGTAAATGTGCTAGGTATTTTTCTACTTGTTTATTTTCTGATTGTTCATCGTTCACTTGCTCAAAGCTTTGCTTATTAAGCCGTTTGAATGATAGTTTTTATGTTATTTTTAATTTACTAATAGAATTATATTGCTGATAGGTATGAAAAAGGATTGAAATAGTGGTCTTCATCACCAGGTGACATCGACTAAGAAAAATATGAACTCAGAAATCACTAAACGGTTATTACATTTACATTTAAAACTACCTGAAGGAGTTAGCTCTCCACTCGAAACAGACTTTATCTGGAATCTGTAGAGATTGATACTTTCATTATGTTCTTTTTTATGTTTTAAACATCAGTTTCTTCATGAAAACACCAATTTTCAGTTGATGTTTTGACGAATAACTGTCTTAGTAAATATATTAAAAACGAAATTTCATAAATAGAAAATCTTGGAATTTTAAAACACAAACCAGTTTATAATAAATTCACTACTGTTATTCTCATGTTAACAAACAACTTTTTTTGTATTCACCGATTTACGACTATCTTAGAAAGATATTTTTATGGGACCCTTTTTATTTTGTCGTCATTTAGATTGGATGATGTTTGTTGACGGGCTGGCTCTCCACTTTAGTGCCCAGAGATCTGACTCCCATTCGATCGTATGAATGATCGTTGTCGAAATATATATATCGTCTGTCCTCGTATATAATCATCGACTTGAATCGCGTTAGTCAATAACGAAATTAAATAAGTCAATTAATGAGAATGGACTTTTGAATACATATATTTTTTATATGAAGCGAGTGGAACAGAGCGATGCGAAATGACTCGCAGTGGAGATGGCGGGTAATCCAACTCTCATTTAACCAATCATTAATCAATATTGATAGTTACACATGTGATGAGTAATGGGATAAGAAGTGTACACACACCTACGCGCTCATATAAAAACAGTGAAGATTGATAAGTGAATAATTAACAAGGTCAAAATATGACTCAAGTAGAATGAATAGATTGACCTATCCGAAAGTTAGAATAAGTTATATGGGCTTAACATATTAACAGACACTACAATATCATTTAATGAAAAACTGAAATTATACAGTTTACCAATAGGAATAAGAGCTTTACTTTGAATTGTATTCGTTATGGTGGACAAGTACTGATTCGTTTTATTTTTTGTTTTTTGAATTAATTCCATCGTTATTTGACTAATCTTAATATGTGTTTCTCTTAATGACCATTAAGTTGTGTTCCTTTACTTTATTACATAATCAGTTAATTTTTTAGCTATATAATCTTGCTACTGTTTTACCCTATAGATGGCTCCTTAGAAAGTCATATTCAGTTGTGACATTTCATACTTTTATATTTCTCCAACTATATTAAAGTTATTCTAGTCCACTATAATGATACATAGTCACATGTAATGAACTTCACTATTTTATGTACATCGACTTTTTCATATCTTTTTTACTTTAAAAGCAATTGATAAGAACCTCGTGGAATAAAATGAATCAAAGTTGTTGTTATAATCTCTCTCTTACGGTTATAACCCAGCTATTCCTATTGCTTAATATTCCCGGACACCAATTGACTCGACAAGTCCCCTAATCAGAACACGGTTGAACAGGAAAGAGATTATATTCCAAATAACAAGGTTAGATGGAAGTAAAAAGAAGTACAATAGGAAAAACGTTAGTATGTTTATAGTTTCTACATGAGAAGATTCTAGAGTATTCTCCAGGCATCGAATAGAGGTGATTGGATAAGAATTAGTCAATCAACGTGCGCCAATGCAAACGTGCATTGAAAATGATTTAATCCAATCTATATCCCGCTAACAGTTGTTCCATTCGAATCCATCTTAAAGATAATAAACGTAATTATATCTATGAAATTCAGAATCATTTTTTGGATTGGTATGTTGTTGTTATTGAAGGTAATTTATTATTTTTAAAACTACAGGGTACTTGTAAACGCTAGAAAATAATTAGTATGTAGCGTATGCTTGATTTGAATTGTAATTCATTTGAACTTATCATATTACTTATTAGAAACATTATGAGTAATATACATTAAATGAGTAAATAATCCAATTTGTAATCAAGTTAAATGTTTATTAAAAAAGTTCAATGAGACATAAAATAATAAAGAATGAAGTGAATAATCAAAAAGGAAAACAACATTTTCCTTTAATATACAAGTAGAAAAGATGTAATATTAACAGTGAATGAATTTGATAAGTTTATTAAAAAAAAATATTCGAACATAATTAATGTAACATTTATAAATACTAATTGATAAACTTATTTTAACTAATAATCCAAAAACATGTTTGTATCTTTTAGTTCACAAAAGGAAATTATATATATTTACTCTTGAATAGGTTATTTCATCTCAATTATTGATTTAACATATGTTTTTGAGTCGCTGATGAGAATGATTTGATAATGAAACATTTTATTCATTCACCCATATATATATATATATATATATATGTTTTTGTCTGTATAGCCTAAAAAAAGGTTCATTATTCTTTATTTGGACGCTCTTTTACATTGTTTCCTTAATTTGAATATAAGAAAACAAAAGGGATGTTATTATTATTTAGTTAATATATAAACATAGGAAAGTTAACTATGTATACATATGTATATATATTTATTGTTTTTAAGGTCAGGGGTATTTATTGATTGTCTCATTAATATAATTATATCTTATAGATTCTATTTTACCTAATTTTCAAATGTCATTTTTGTTTCTTGTTTTACAACTTTATTTTATAACTTACTTCATGAAAAAAATAATAATCAAGTAAAAAAAATCTTAATTATAATAATGTAAATGGATTATTCTTATTAGTTTCATTACTTTATATACAAAAAAAAAGAACAACAATATGGTTAGAGTGGGAAATATAATTCTTTAGAGTTTAACTCAAGTAATGAACTCTCAGAATAGTGCCTAAGTTATGAACTCGATTCTAAGTGATGCTGTGAGTGTATAATTCTGAATGGTTTGAAACAGTTTATCCAGTGCATTATAATAGTCGGGTGTGTTTTTTTTTTTTTTTTTTGTAGTTAATTTTATTCCATTACTTAAAATAACTATTGTAGTAGGAATCAAGCAAATAATTGATGAATTTCAATTTTACATTAAATTCCAATCAGTATCATAGCTTTGATATTGATTATTAGATAGCCAAAATTTTTAAAAGAATTATAATAGAAATTATAAAATGGTTAGGATCGCTTAATTATAAGTATAACCTTACTACTTAGTACAAAATGAAAAATTCAGAATCTTCAATTATACTATCAACCAATTTAATGTATATTTAGTCAACTTATGTTACATGTCTATGAACGTATTATTTTAATATTCAAAATAATGGAACTTAAGTTCAATTATAACCGTACATATTCGGTTATTCTCAAACGACTACCTATTGAGCATATGCATATCTGTCGTTTACTTGTTCTGCCCTATTTATTCTTATTTTCCTCCATATAA